GAGCGAGAGCCGGGGGGCCCTGGCGCCCAGCCCCCCCTCCTCTAACCACTAGCCCCCACTCCCCTCCCAGAGCCAGGGAGCGAACCCAGGAGTCCTGGCTCCCTGCCCCCCCTGCTCTAACCACTAGCCCCCACTCCCCTCCCAGAGCCAGGGAGAGAACCCAGGAGTCCTGGCTCCCAGCCCCCTGGCTCTAACCACTAGACCCCAGTCCCCTCCCAGAGCCAGGGAGAGAACCCAGGAGTCCTGGCTCCCAGCCCCCCGGCTCTAACCACTAGCCCCCACTCCCCTCCCAGAGCCAGGGAGAGAACCCAGGAGTCCTGGCTCCCAGCCCCCTGGCTCTAACCACTAGCCCCCACTCCCCTCCCAGAGCCAGGGAGAGAACCCAGGAGTCCTGGCCCCCAGCCCGCCCTGCTCTAACCATTACTCCCCTCCCAGAGCCCAGAATAGAACTCAGTAGTCCCTGCCTCCTGGTCCACAAGGGGTTAACCCCATCTCCACATTAAGGACCCCCCATCCTGCTGCTCTTAATTTCAGCTTTCCGGTCACCATAGCAACTGGGAGCAAAGAAGCGAGACAGACGCTGTTGGCGGGGCGGGGGAGTGAGACAGAGATAGAGGCCAAAGACACCGGTTTTCCCAATCCCCTAGTCGTCTGGAACTACAGCTCCCAGAATGCCCTGGTCTCCTGGAACTACAGCTCCCAGAATGCCCTGCTCCCTCTGACACTACAGCTCCCAAAATGCCCTGCTCCCTCTGGCACTACAGCTCCCAGAATGCCCTGCTCTCCTGGAACTACTATGCCCAAAATGCCCCACTCCCTTTAGCACTACAGCTCCCTGCATGCCCTGCTCCCCTGGAACTGCAACTCCCAGAATGCCCTGCTCCACTGGAACTACAGCTCCCAGCATGCCCCGCTCCCCACCACTTTGCGACGAAGCACATTAATTCTCCAAAGAGAAAACTCCAGCCCCGCCCCCACGCCGCTGGCCGCGCGACAGCTGGGACCGGCCAGGTCAGTGCTGGCCCCGGGACCCCCTCGGGCAGGGAGTGGGGCGGGGGTGAGCGAGGTGCACGTGGTGTCGGGAGTGGGGCACCCTGGGGCAGGGAACTGGGCTGGGCTGGAGTGCCGTGGGGCAGGGGGCTGGGTGGGGGGGTGCCGTGGGGCAGGGAGCGGGAGTGGATGGGAGGTGCCGTGGGGCAAGGAGCTGGGCTGGGCTGGAGTGCCGTGGGGCAGGGGGCAGGACTGGATTGGAGGTGCTGTGGGGCAAGGAGCTGGGCTGGGGCACCGTGGGGCTGGGTGGTGGGTAT